TTATCCTCATCTTCGTCTATATCTGACTGCCCATGCAACAAAACTCTTGGTAGTAGATATTTCTGAACAACTTTATTGTCACATATCTTGGTGTAGGACAACAAATACTTGTTCTGAAATTCTTCTATAGCTTTGCCGATGACATCTTTATCCTCATCAGGTAAGTCTTCATAAGGCATCATAATAATGTCACTGTTGTTGTAAGTCGCCATGACGATTGTGGGGTCCCACCGGGCATGCCAGAACATGTGTCGGTGCAAAAATACGTCAATGCGCCTGGCACACAGCAAGCTAGAAGGATCTGCTTGATAGAGCAAGGCTGAAGATCCACTTGGCTTCAACGTCAGACCAGTCGACCCTGCGAATTCCTCCCGAGGGCGTGCCAGTCAATTTGACCTGCAATTGACAAGGAGAGAAAGTTTATCAGTAATTTAAGGTGGAACATGCCGGTTTTGCCCAGATAGTTCTAAGTGTGCCGCTTCAGGAGCAGCCAAACGGGAAAGTCGACCGAATAACCGATACGAGAAGAAATTCGACTGTTAAGGAATGTAACACTCATGGGTTGTGATTGATTTTATAATGACGACTGCGATTAACCCAGTTTTAATGATTCTTTCCTTAAGCTATTAACATGTATGTGTCAGAGATACATCACTGGCTAAATCAGATTCGATCAATACGTAGTGTAGAGCCAATGAATTTAGTGAAAAAGGGATATGTCATGCACACAATCGACTGTTTGATACAGACAGACCCACGAACCGTCTAGATCTAATCCATTACCATCAATAGTGAGGTTCGACCGGATCGATGCAGCTATGATGATGATAATAGTCTAGAACCAGAAAACCCATAGAACCGACCAAACTTCAACAGGTTCATAAAAGCGTGATATATCTGTGAAAGCGCAGGCGAATCGACTAAAAGAGCCGATTCAGGTAGAAAAAGGATCATAGTGTGTGAACAATCGACTATTCAATATGAGCAGACCTATCAACTCCTCAAATCTAACCTATCATCTTTAACAGTGGGGTTCGACCAGATCGATGGCTGCCATAATAAAGATAACAGATTAAATCTTTAAAGAAAACAGATCTATTCATATTTAACAGGATCATGAAAACACACTATAAGCGTTAAAGTGCAGGCGATCGGCTATTTAGCCGATGCAGGCATAGCAAATAGCCAAGGTCATGCCTGGTCGAAAGCAAGTCTACCAACTAGCATCCTCCGATCAAGAGTGCCATCAGTGGGGATCGATCGGATCGTTACAGCCATAATAGCGATCTATAGACTAGATTTAATCAGCCAGTAAACCTCCTTAAGATCAGACATGCCTTAACCGCGTATTATGCACGATCAAGATCGAAGTAGGACAGCCGATGAAACATAATCCGTCGTTTAAAATGAGAATCATCACAATGTGGCAAAATAAACGAGGGACTAAAAAGATGTGAGATCGATCTAGTTCGATCTTGATCGGGCAGGTTGATGTTGCTGAAACTAATAACAATAAGAACACCAGCAAGATCGGTAACTTAATGAATCTACCCGAAGGATGCCACCCTTATGTAGAGCTGATAACTTGACCTTAATCTAATTCGAGCAGTGGAGGTCGAACTCAACCGATGCAGCCTTACAAACAGAAGTATAAGCCATGACGGTACTTACAGATAAGCCGGAGGTCGGCCAGACTGATGCGGCCCTACTTGTTGAAGAACTCGTCGAGATCTACACTACTCCTACTCCTAAGGGTTGGCATGGAGCCAAAAAAAGTAATTTGATTTGATTGATTGGATGTCCTTTATAATAGCCGGGGTTCAATATTTATACCTGGAACCTACGCATAAATCCTACTCAAGTACGACTTATTACAACCTTTGGTATAAGAGAAAACATTCCTAACTTGAGATAACTTGGACCCTAATCTTTTCCTTTTTGTAGAGTCCGACATGTCTTTCCCGACGCCAACCGTTGCTCATTGTCGCTATCTACTGACTTCATCCGGAAAGAGCCGATTCTAGTGCCGCATTCGAATCAGCTGATATTGATCCCTATGCAATTGATTCCTTGATGACACAATCTTGGAAGCTTCGAGTTTCCACGTTCTTCTTCCCAAATTTTGGTGTAAACAGCCACTCAATGCAACCTCACGATGCAATCGCACTAGAATCGCCGACTCACACAATCGGATGATCACTATCAAGCATATGTGAGATGGAGGGCTCCTAAGCACTCTCAAGCATGGACACAAAGTCCCCCAAGGTGCTCAACCACAGCCATGGCTAAGACCCCCATCTATTTATAGCCCCATGGGCTAAACTAGCCGTTACCCCTTCACTGGGTATTTTTGGGACGATCGAACGCACAGGTCGTGTGCACCAGACGCGTCCGGTCGCTGCATCCGGTCACTGCTTGACCACCACGTGTCCCATTCAAACGAAATAGCCGTTGCCGCCCAACTGCGATCGGACGCGTCCGGTGTGCCGACCGGACGCAGGAGGGGCAGCGTCCGGTCGAGTCCAGATAGCTCCCAGAGCCGCTCAACTACGACCGGACGCGTCCGGTCACACCGGACCGGATGCTCCCAGCGTCCGATCAATTATTACGCAGAGAACCCGAGACTTGCTGGTTCACACCGGACGCATCCGGTGTGGCGATTGGACGCGTCCGGTCGCTCTCTATGATCCTGTATCGGGCTATATCACTTTGGCCTGACGCTAAACAGTAACTCATCAGTGTTCGGTCACTCCACTGAGCCAGAGTCCGGTCACTTCGGCAACTCTGTCTGCGTCTGGCCAGAATACCGGACGCGTCCTGTATTGATATCGGACGCGTCCGGTCACGTCGAGAACACTACCGCTGAGATAGATACCGAACACGTCTGGTATACATATCGGACACGTCCGGTCACCCCGTGACCAGCGCATTCAACTTGTTTTCTTCACCAACTTCAACGCCGCCTACATCATCGTATGTCACACGCGACCGAACGCAGTCCCTGCGCGTCCGGTCACTTCTTCACCTAGTGTCCGGTCGAAGACCGAGACCGCGTGCTCAACTGCTGCTACTGATCGGATGCTCCGGTCTTGCCGAGGCCAGCGTCTGGTCACTCACAGTGACACCTTCTGGCCTCCGTTTCATTGCCGAGTTGATCCACATCAATTCCATCTTCTTCTCCTTTGTAAATGTGCCAACACCACCAAGTATACACCACCATGTGTATGTGTGTTAGCTTTTCACAAATATTTTTCAAAGGATTAGCCACTCAACTTGCCACACCACTCGATCCTAGCGATGATGCAAAGTTAGATCACTCGAGTGGCACTAGATGATCGATATGCAAACAAGTTTGCCCCCTCTTGATAGTACGGCCATCTATCCTAAACCCGGTCATCAACTTCTCTACACACCTATGACCGGTGGAATGAAATGCCCTAGATTATACGTTTGTCTTACGCATTCCATTCCATCTCCTCTAATGTCGATGCAACACATGCACCAACACGATCAATAATGATATGACCCACTTCATATCATCACGTGATCATATTGGTTCATCGATCTTGACTTCACTTGCTTTTCAATGTTGCCTTCGTCCATCGGCACCAAGTCTTGCTCAAGCTTCACCGCCACGTGGTCAATCGCTCCAAAGCCTCCGACTTGTCCTTCACTCTTGTAACCGGTCCATCAAGACAAGTCTTGTCTTGATTTTCTCCACCTTGATCACATGACTCAATGTCATGTCTCATGTGCAATGAGCTCCTTCATCATCACATGTGTGAGCTTTGCAACATCACCGAGCCATTTCCACTTCCATGGCATATGTTGCTCACACACATGTACTTGTGGACTAATCACCTGTGTATCTCACATAAACATAATTAATCCACCTAGGTTGTCAGTCAATTACCAAAACCACAAAGGGACCTTTCAGCTATACGTGGTGAATCAAGAAGCAGATCTTTAAAGGTTTGAATTAGAAGAAGGATCTAGGTTTTAAGGCAAGTATAGTATGGGATCATCCTTATTGTCCTATTCACCTTAACATTATTTTAATCATATGCATGTGTCTACCTTGACAACCGTAGTAATTTTTCTAGCTATTTGATATCCTGGATTCCTTGATACCTATGGGGTATTGCATTGGGTAGTATGATGCTAGTGCTCAACTAAAGCCATGATCTTGTAACTTGACTAATGGTATATGTAATAAACACTAAAAGATATTTTTTAGCAACATGGAATCAGGGGGCTAGAGCATTGCGCTGTTTTTATAGTGCTCTAGATTTCTCTCCCTAAGGACTTATCTGTAAGCAAACATTCAGGACTTACAATACAGCTGTGAGGGTAACATGGCTCTGGCTTTAGCTCAGTATGAGGATCTTTTCTAGCTTATTAGTGGTTACCTTTATGGCGCAAGAGGGGCTCCGACGGGTATGATCTCGGCCTGCCAAGAGGGTGCACTTTGGTTTCTTGGTATTTTGTTAGTCCTTCTTGGAGGGGGGTTCATGCTTATTGATGGGGAAACCTTAGCGGCCCTAACTTGTTAGACGAACCTTTGAAAGACTTTATAATGAACCCTGCCGACCTTCCTTGGTAGTGGGTCAAGAGGCTGATCACCTCGGGCGAAAGGGTAAATCACGACTCACAGTAAAAGTGTACAACCTCTGCAGAGTATACAACTAGTATATCAGCCGTGTTCACGGTCACGAGCGGCCTTGGACTCTTACGGAATAGATTATCATTAATGGTTAATGATGATGAACACTGATGATATGCAATTCATTATTCAATAGCTATGAAATCAACAAAAGTGAGCATTTTTTACATGGCTTCTTGGATAAATCTAGCAAACTAGAACTGGGAAATACTGGGCATGCTCACGAAGGCACGTCTGGGAAAGAAAGAGGATGTGAGACGGATGGTTTCCACAATTTTCATGAGAGCTCAGATCGGGAAAACCGGAATAGAACTCTCAGCCTTGAAGTCTTGTTCTTTCATAGAGATGGAGCCAAGTTTCGGAAAGAGCGACGCGCGGTGTAACGGAAGGTTTCTATTATTACGTCAAGAGACCGGATCCAGACCCGTGCATTTGGAGGTGCACCAACACCATCATCGAGGTGGAGAACCCAGGCGACGTCCAGCTCCGTGAACCACCTCTCTAGGGCACTCACGTCGCCACCGATGATGCTGTGATGACTCGCCGACGGCGCACCAAAGAATTGTTGGATCAGGCTTTTGATGTGCTTTATCTGCTCGCCGCCATCCTCTATTTTCTCTCTGTCCAACTCGACGTACAGTTGCAAGGCCAAATTCCATTTCCACGGGCGTTTATTCGTTCCTAGTCCAGCGAACAATCCGACACGGGTGCGTCCAGCCGTACAGAGGCTTCCTAGCCCGCGCCTGCGGTTCTCCCTTGCCTGATTCAGTTACGTAGAGCTGGCACGTTCGAGTAGGACACGTGCTGGCATGTTATTAACTGTAGGTGCGTCCATCTTTCTTTCTTTTTTTATTTTGTACTTTTTTCTTGTACCTTTTATTTTTTATACAAGTTATTTCTTACATAATTTTATATTTCCGCTAATATATTATGATATTAATTTGTACATCTAAGTTCTTGAATATAATTCATACGTTCAACTTTAAGTCTAAGTCATTCATCAAGTTATATATCTAAGTTATACACATAACTTTTCTCTTTTTTGCGAGCATACAGATAACTTTTATGCATAATTTATTATCACAACTTATATATAAGAACTTTTACAATATAACATTTTGCAGAGCAGAACTTATTAGCACAAGTTTTTATCAGAACTTGTTGGGTAGCATTGACAAGTTTGTGTTTCATAACAACTTTAGTACATAAGTTGTGCTTTCATAACTTTTATGTTTTTAGGTTTTGGCATAAGTTATAAGTTAATTCTTTATATTGTGTTTTCAAGTTTTTTTACATAAGTTATAAGTTAATTCGCTCCTTTGTGTTTAATAACTTTTGTATATAAGTTGGGTTTCATAATTTTTATGTACAAGTTATATGTCATAAGTTAATACACATAAATTGGTATTAGAAAAAAAGTTCTTCAAAACATATGCAAGTAAGATTTAGTTTTGTTCGTCTCGTCACATAGAACACACCAGACGGAATAAAAAATGGTTACATCGTTCAAAAGGTATAGTAATTTGAAATAAATGTTTCACTTTTTTCGAGGATGACATCATGACAGCCAGTGAAAGGAGCGGGGTGGGCGCAGGAGAGTGGCCGAGTGGGCGCATGCGCTCGGGTGCTGCGCTTTTCCAAATAGGGTAATTATAGGCTGTCGGAATATCGATCCTACATTCAGATCTAATGATCGTTCGCGGATTAGTGACTCTGGTTGCAAGGCCGCCTCCATAGAGGTAGAGGAGAAGCGAGAGCCGCTAGATCTGGATCTAGTGTAGGTGGACGAGACTGCCGTACCTGATCCTGATGACGAGATGCTAAGGCTGTCATCCAAACAGAAGCCAGTCTGCTTGTTGTACTTGTAGCTCCAACGCCTGTGGCCACCATTCCTACCCTCCATGCTAAGCCGGTGGCTAACTCTAGCTACCGGCCGGGCGACGATCTGCAGAGACAAAGGTAATAATATACACTATACCACACACCAGAATTAGCGTCAAACATCGATCGCTAAAACTAGGTATTTAGCAATGCAACATTGGTCAGTAAAGAATTCTAACGAAGCATCGGTCGGTAAAGGTGCCTTCAGCAGCTATTCATCGGTCGCTATAGATAGCGTGAAACTATCGGTCGGTATATGTTTGTAATAACATCAGATGATCGGTCGGTATATATTAGAGCTAAAATCTAGCGTGCTGCCCTTCGCCCAAAATTTGTCCGCCGAATCTCTAGAATGTATTCCCAAATGCAGAGCAAAGAGAATGCTTTTATCATCTTGTCAGAAATTTCAAGAAGAGATTTAGAGGGTTTGGCCAGATATATCCTGTGGCAAGGGCTTACAGAGAGGACATATTCTATGACAATATAGTAAAAATGGTAAGTGAATCAGCACAAGCAGTGAAATGGTTACAGACCAATCATAAGTTATTATGGTATAGGTGTTGTTTCAATCCAGAAATTAAGTGTGACTACATAACTAGTAATATTGCTGATAATATTGCTGAGGCATATTTATCAAGTTACACTAAAGAACCTGTACTTGTCTTGAATGACAGCACACTGGTAAGCCATGTCAACATGTATTGGCCTATGTAACCCGTCATCGAGGAGTTGACCTAGAACAGTTTGTGCATGACTACTACTCGGTCAATAGATTAAGGGCTGCTTATAGAAGAGAGATTGAACCGATGATAGATAAAACACAATAGCCATAAGTTGACCTACCATTTTTAGTTGGTGCACCTCTTGCTAAACTACCTGTTGGACGACGAAGGAAACTAAGAATGAAGGGATGGATGGAATGTGGACAAAGGAAACTAAGAATGAAGGGATGGATGGAAGGTGGACACAGAAAGAAAGGTTCCAAAGATGGTGAATTTACCAACGATGGTGAAGGTGAGAAGGGATGTGACAACGATGCAGCTCCAACAAATGGAAAGGGAAATAAAATGATCAGAGGACCTATGACTTGCAAAAAATACGGAGAAAAAGGTCATAGACAAGCCAGTGCCAAGTGCCAACTCAATGGGACCGCAAAAAAGAGGTATGAACTGATTTTCTTTATCTAGAAACTTGAATGTAAATGTCAATACTAATTTATTTGATTACTTATAGGGAGCGTAGGCAACCTAGAAAGAATGTTACAGAAGCTGCGCCAGCAGAACCTAGCACCCTACGGAGGCTGACTAGAGAAAAAATCCTACGGGATAGTCCAGGAAGGGTCACAAGAAGGTAAGGAATATTGACACATTTATCGTACACTAATTTTTTTCATACATCTAATTGTGGTATCGTATTTATGTGCAGCATGCTTATGATGTTATTAGGAGAGGGCACATCTTCACAGACCGACAACACTTGTCCCGTGAGGATACCTACAGCGGCAGCATCAGAAAAGATGACTCCGAAGAGAAAGCTATACATTGGATGAATTATTTTAGCTATGGTGAGATGTAGACGCATGATTTATTTGATATGACTTAAATCTTGTTTGGAACAATATTACGATGTAAGATGAATTCATGTGTACTTAATATTGTGTTATATACCTAAAAATTTACTCTAATTTTCTAGAAATTTTTACTGTATTTTTATGAATTTTAATAATGTGTGACATACCCCGACGACGGCGGCAAGCGTGCCAGCAGCCAGCCCAGCCGGCGAGCCTGCCAGCCTCCCAGGCGACGGCGACAGCAGTCAGCCAGCCCACTCTTACGTGAATATGACTTAAGGACAATACGATTATACCATGGTAAAATACATGTATTTGAAATGAGAAAAATAATTAAAAAAATCAAATGTCATGTAAAACAAAGTGCTAACGTTTTAAATGCCGTTTTAGTGAAGTCGACTATTGAACTCCTATAATAACTGAGCCCTTTGTCTCGCTGTCTTATAGGCCTTGTTTAAATTATAAATTTTTGCAATCTGGACACTGTAGCACGTTTTGTTTATATTTGACAAACTTTGTCCGATCATGGACTAACTAAGCTCAAAAGATTCGTCTCGTGATTTATAATCAAACTGTGTAATTAGTTATTTTTTTATCTACATTTAATGCTCCATACATGCGTTCAAAAATTGATGTGACGGAGAGAGAGCGAAAAAGTCATCTAAACAAGGCCATAATAGCAATTTTCTCGAAGTAGCCTGGTCGACATGAATGCTCCTTGCGCCCTGCACTGCTTTCCCCTTTTCGTTCGCCGGAATCCTGGAGCGGAGGAGATGGCCTTCAATGTCCGTCTGTTTCTGGTGATCCATATCCTTGGCTTGAACGCTCGTATCCTTTGGATTATTGCAGGTATCGGCGTCCTCAGGCTGATTGCAGGCGTGGGCAGGTAGGGGATTGAAGGCGCCCCTACACACCTCCGCATCGGAGCACGGCCGCTGGTCTTTGAGCTTGCTCAAATCTCTTGCCAAATCCGGGAGCAGCGCCCATGCTCTCTCCTGCAGCTCATGGTTGACCTCCGTTGGACTTGCCGGAATAGGATTGAGCTCTTGGGGCGCCCCCTGGGATGCTGATGCCGGCGGTCGCTGGTTTGCTTCGGGGTCTTCGAGGCCGATGGAACTTGAATGCGTAGCAGACTGTGACCCATCAAGACGTAGATCAGGTGGTGGGGAGTGCGGATCTGGTGCTTGGTGGTGAGGAGCGATGGCGGATGAGGCGGATCTAGGCGATTTGGGTTCCGGAGTGGGGAGGACGAGGAAGGAGAGCAGCGGTCGGGGTGCTCCATCGCATAAATGACAATTATTTAATTTGATTTGAAAGAGAACGTATAAATATTGATAACCCTGTTCGTTTAGCTGTAAATGATCGTAAATTTTTAGTCGAAATAATATTTTTCTCTCACATAAACCAGCCAGCAGTACTTTTTCACGAAACAGCAATGATATGAATCAACCATCCGAACAGACAGTGTACAAACCTACAATGGCAGAAGGTACAGACAGCTATGTACTGTTCCATATTTATTTCAAGAATGAAAGAAAAATTTACAACAGAAATACTACCGAAGTGAAGTTTGGTAATGCTTCATCTTCTGGTCTGCTTCACGTAACAGCTTCAGAAAAGCCAAGTCATTTGAAGCATCATTTCATTCTTCCAAAGCAACACAGATGGAAATTAACACCCTGTTCGCTTGATCGTTCTGTGGCTTATAAACCGGCTGATGCTGTTTTATTGTGAGAGAAAAACACTATATCATGACTGATAAACATAACTGATACGATCAAACGAACGGGGTACAATGACCTGTCCTTAGTGGTGCACTCTGCATCATCCTTCGAATAGCTCTCGCAGCATCTCTTCCAGCTCCTGGGGACTGAATTTTGGGTTGGTACTTTTGTTATCCTCTACGTATTTTGTGTAGACCGGAATGATTTTGTCGATGATAGCTGTGCGAAGTCTTGTCCTCAGCTCAGGATCTGGGACCTTCCATAACTTTTGAGTGGTGTACGTCTTCTGAAGTTCAGACTCGAACTTGGGGAGGGCCAGTGAGTAACCGAACAAGCAAAGAGGTGTAGGATCGAACAAGCACGTCAACAACGGTGCCCAAGACACTTGTAGATACCTCTCCATGTAGCGCTCGACTTTAGATAAGAGGGCTGCCACACGGGCTTGGATAGAAGAGTTCAAACTGTTGTCCTGGAGCCTCTCCCGTCATTAAGTCTGAGTTGTTGAGCAAGAATAAGAACCTGAGACCTTGGTCTGGAAATGATTCTGAAATTTTGGCAAGCTCTTCTTCAAGACAGGACGCGATCTCCATGGCCAGGATGTCCAAATGTTGTTGACCTCCATTCTGATGTACTCGCTTAACAAGGCCAGCTGTTTCAGATACAATTGGATGCAATGTCGAGTAGTTATTCAGCAGGAAGTTGATATAGCCCATTACTGACCGGGTCACCCTGTGAATGTCCGATGTTCCATGTGGAGTTTGAATGCCCTCCAACAAGATAAGAGTCCTAATCCGCTCCATTGTGCTCCATATGGCATCGCGTGCATTGCCATTCTTTGCACGCAACAACCTTTCAACTTCCCGAGAGGGCGGTGCCGGGAGGAATGACACCTCTCCCATCTCAGATAAGGCTTCGGACAGAGCACCGCGCACAGGCAGCAGGACATTCAGCATCTGGTATAGTGCCGAGACCCCATTATTGCCATTGGGATCTATAGCCATAGCAACTATGACGTCAACAAAAGAGAGCATTTTCAACATGGTTTCTTGGATAAACCGTGCAAACTGGAATTGACCATCCGGAACTGAACTCACAGCCTCAGCCTCTTCTTCTCCTTCTTCTTCTTCTTCTTCTTGTTCCTCAAAAATACTAGGCATGTCCATGTCCAGGTCCACGAGGCCGTCATCCGGAAATAGGGACTCCGTGAGGCCAACGGTGTCCACGATTTCTCTGAGGGCCTGGATCCAGCTGGTCCTTGCAACATCAGACGTATGCTCCAGTTCACATGCAGATGCACTGCTAGGGAGGTGGAGAACCCAGCCGACGCCCAACTCCGTGAGCCACCTCTCCACGACAGGGGCACCCATGTCGCTGCCTCTGACGCTGCAATTCACCGATGACGACGCAGCGACGAATTCCTGGACCAGGCTTCTGATGTGCTGCATCTTCGCCTCCTGAGTTTCTCCCCAAGAAACGTTGTCGTCTTTATCGAGGAGCAGAAAGCTAGGGTGTCTTGCGGCGGCGTCCATAGAGCTAGAGGACAGATGAGAGCCGCTACCGCTAGATGTGCAGCAGTAGGTGGTTGAGACAATGGTACCTGAGGATGAGCTGGATCCTGTCTGCTCGCGGCCGCCATCCCTGCTCTTCACCTCCATGGTAAGCTTAAGCTTAATCTAGCTAGCCCTGGCAACTGCAGATCTGCAGATACCAATCTCCTGATGGATGCTCAGACGATAGCCGTTGACTTGCAGTCACAGACTCACAGTCACAGCTCACACAGGTTTGCGGCCGGGACTCAAGACTACTCGATTGAAAGAAATGGCGGCCGGAAGGGAAAGAACGAGAGAGACTTGCTTTTATACCTAGGTCAAATTTAATCCAACGGCCAGAACTGCTGCCATTCAATTCAACGATCAAGAATAATCGGGCCACCATCGTACCGGTCCATTAACCGTGCCCGTGCCGGCACTGTGGGCCGGACATGCAGCCCAAGCATGGCCCTAGATCGTGCTCGTGCCGGCCCTGGCACTATAGACACCGTGCTCGGGCCATGCCAGTGTCGTGCTTTTTCGGGTCGAGCCTGTGCCGGCCCATCGTGCCTGGCCCATTTGGCCATATATAAGAAGAGGCGACGGGAAAGGAAATATCATCTTGTGGTTCAGCGGTTGGTGGGCTATGGTGGGAGGCAGCAGCCAAAAGGCTTAGACAAGTCATGGGCCTGTCGAAGGGGCCCAGTAGTTTTCGTTTCTGGGCAGGTCCCGGGGCCCTTCTCATTGATTCCCTGCTAAGCCGCACGAAACAAGACCGATGTCTAATGATGATCGGTGTTACCTAAGCGTAGCGTGTTCTGCTCAAATGATGAAATAGCGCGCTTGAAAAAATTGGTACTCCTCGAGAACATATACTCGTACTAAGATGACATATATTCCTTTCCTTTTAAAAAAACATGTATTCTTGCCATATATATTTATTGATGTCTTCTAGATAACAAATCACACGACACATAGTTTGATTCATCTAAATTTGTTTGTCTACCATATTAAGACATATTTGTTGGGCCTAATTGCAACAGTGTGAAGATCGACAAGCGTTCATGTGGGGGCCTGTCGTACTTTGGAGACTGCATCATTGAGCCTCTTTGCGTCCTTCGGATGGCCTTCATTATTTAGAATTAGGTCTTGAATTTATTGTCATATTTTCTTAGTGTGTCATGAATATTGTTGGGGTGTAATAATTGCCCTAATTCCTCTTTAATGGGGATGAAGCCGGATACTCTTTCCTTTATTAAAAAAACATATTAAGACATATTTAACGAAATTTTAGGTTTTACTAAATACTTACATTATATTAGTATATTTTAGATTTTGTTGAATGCATACTTAAATAGTAATAAGAATTCGGTCATCAATACTTTATCATCATCAAGCTTATTGAACAACACTATTATTATATGTACATTCTTTTTTATTGGAAATCGTAGTACTGATGCAAACGCTCGCATACATGCACACAAGCTCACCCCTATAAACCAAAACATATCCTAATGCACTATGAACACCTCCAAAATACTAAGCTGATAGATTTCCATATTCATGAGTCACCGCATACACTTCATTGTCGACAGACATATATAGTCACCTACCACGAGACAAATGAAACATTATTAAATCATCGAATATTAGAATAAATTTAGAAAAATAGGAGTAGCTGCATCGTAACTAACCTGGTAGCCATATTGCACCAAAAAACCTGAACAGATGAACAACAAGGAATTCGCATACAACAAATATCTTTAATTTAATCGTGCCCTCCTAATGTATAATTCATGGCTTCGCCCCTGCTCGTGGACCTTGAGACTGACGAAGTTAATATAGATACATCATTGTAGATGGACATATCTCCTACCATAACACTAAAAGAATACTACCATTAAATTCAATGTGAGCGCTTGTTTCAAGTCAATAATTTTAAACTTGGATGAACAGATTCCACCACAAGAGAACTAATCAGCTGAGCTATGCCTAGTTAGCTTGCGCTCGAGAAAACTGGCGCCCATCAAAAACATACTCATATACACACACTTGTATCCTTATGAGCACCACAAAAAGACTGAGCTAGTAGACATTAAGGTTGACAAAATCACTAGAAACACCTCGTTGTCAACACGTACTATAACATCAGGCTCAATTTGGAATTTGGCCCATGTGCATGTTAATGAGATATTATTGAGGGTTTACTCCCACCTTGGTAGTTAAAGGTGGGTTAGACCAACATATAAGGCATCTAGAGTTCAACCCACCCTCCCCAGGTTAATCTTTTTATGCGAAGCGAGGACGAAAGTGTAAGTGGGATGGTTGTAGGTGTGGTTTACTTAGCGTGCAGAAATTTTTTGAAATATATGACCACATTTAAGTATAAGCATGTTTTATATGACCACATTTAAGTATAAGCATGTTTTGGATGCCATTTTCTCAAACAACTTTCACCGCTACGAAAACGTTCTTTATATACGGCTAGAAATGGTTGTAGAAGCATACATGTGTGTCTCTAGAAATCGATTTTTAGTGGTGGTTTGGAAGACCAGCCGCCTCTAGATATGGAGTTCGAAATCAATCCATTACGGGATACATTTGTGACATCATTGAATGGCTCAACTCTAAGAAGAGCCATAGTGAATCATAGAGCCATTTGATTGGCTCAATCCTCTACGATAGATTTCAAGAGGATGTCAGGAAGGATTATGTAACAAACTCTAACAAATATAAACTGACGAAAGATAACATTCCTTAGAGCATCTCCAAAAGACCAGTTAAATTTAGCTATTAAAAAGTAAAGAGCTCTTCAAAATCTATACTTACTCCAACAGATTCTCTAATGCCGGTCCTGTATGTTTTGAACATGCCACGTCGTTGATTGTTTAACCATTAAAATATGCATCCGTGCATGCATGCTCCCAGGTGGTCTGAGTGGCAGGCCAGCGATTACCGAATACAATACTCGAAGAAAGCGGCAGCCATGAGAAAGCGCACGGATGGCGAGCGCATTTGACGGTATAGCGGACGAGGAAAATTGGAGAGCGAGAAAGAAAATCTGTTGGGGAACTTTTATCGACTAAAATCGTCAAAACGGGTTTTACGGAAGACAATAGCCATTCTCTTGGAGTTGCTCTTGAAGGATACGGGAACTACAACTGTTCCATAATCAGCTTAGGGTAAAATTCTGGTGCCGTTGGCGGAGGTGGAGGAGGAACCTGCATGCCTGATGTAATACATGTGATCTTTATATCTTTTTTCTTTACATGTTTAGAACTTGCAACCTATCAAACTATTAACATTTTTGTTCAGATTATTAATAATAATATTAGCAGCCAATAGCATCAAAACTAACAAGGCAATGCCAACCTTGATACAATAACACTAACTTGATCTATTATATGAGCAAATCCCTTTAGTTATAGCAGACATAATATCTTTTGTCCTCATCATATTTAGCTCAACACACGTTTTTCGATTAGTACATCCGTTTCGATCTTGAATGAATTGTGCACTCCAACACATCCAGCCCAATTCACGCCCCCCCCCCATGTCTTCTTCAACATCCAGAACGCCGACCTCTACCCCCCCCCCTCCCCCTCTAATCTCTCTTCCATGGCAAATAATTGAAGGGGCTGCCCAAGGGGGCTCACAAGGTATAATGCGGGATCGAGCTCGAGCTCCCCTGCCCCATGTTAGACCTGCATGTGCCCTTGCTTGGTATTTACATTAGGATTGTGAGGTACGGAGCCTCTAAAGGTTCCATCACCTACGGATTGCTTGTGTGTAGTTGTAGGTCTATAAGAATGTGTGTGAGTGAGTGTGCGTGCTTGTGTTGGGTTAAGGTGGTGTGTAAGCATATGAACAATTTTTTTAGATATCGGAACTAGGTTCCAGCCTCTATCATCTTGGGATGGTACACAACTGAGAGTCGAACACAATTCAAAGCCGTAAGCCTCAAACTCACATCCAAGAGAGGAAATAAAAGCAACAAAGTTTAGCCCAACCAGGATGAACGACTACAGGCTTGGGAAAAAGAACTAGGAATAAGCTTCAATTCAATTCCGAAAACTCCAAACAAACTTTCTGAAGACCGTCATAATCATTGTCTCTAAAGCATGTGAACAAATACGTACTATAGTTGTACTCAGTTATTTATGAGGCATAAAAAAAAAAGTTTAGCATGTGACTGCTATGTGGCCCCTCCCCACCCATTCTAATATTTTAACTTATTACGGCTAGGTGCAGCCTAGTTTTTGTTGACTATATAGCTTCTGCGACTTGTATGCATGGTTGGGAATGCGCTCCTTTGCAGTAAAGTAGAGACGAAACCAACGCTTGGGTGAAGCACAAATAGAGACCAACAAGCATTTGCGCTTGTCCAGACTGCTTGCACTAGCCAGTCCGGTCCGCGCCCCCTAGCTCCCCCACCCCCACACAGCATGTACATATTGTCATTCAACCACAAGATCACACTAACTCTAATTAGGGTCATTGCTCCCTTAAGGCCTCGTTCATTTTTTCCGGATTAGCCTGTTCTGGGTGGTTTTCTGCGGCCCGTTTCCAATCTGAATGGGAAGTAGAATGTGCGTTCGTTTCAAGCCGGCCTGGAACCAAACCTAGCCCGGAACCAAAAACTACCTTCTCTTTCCCCTGTCTCCACGGCCCGGAACGGACCCGGACCTCCTACCCTCCGGATCGGTGCCGGCTCCCTATCTCCACGACGCGAGCACGCGACGACACAGTAGAGGTGACGGCGGCGCGGCGCGAGGCGACCGCGACCCTACATCCTCCCCCTTCCTCGTCCATCTCGCCGGTGATTCCCTCGCTCTCCCCTTCGTCCTCGTCCTCTCTCCCTCCTCTAGGGTTCTTGGATCTTGTCTCTAGTTCTAGTTGAGAGTCCTGGTAGTAGGATGGTGGTGATGATGATGATCCGTTCGTGGGGGTTAGAAGTGGGCGCCGATCTATCCTACTCCAGTTTGGCCTAGGTGACAGAGTTGTGTTCTCAGTTCTTCGATCTGGAGAACTTTGACATGAGAATGCTCGTACGGCTGTCTGCTTTGTTTTCTACGTATCCTTCTCTCCTCTGTAATTACCCCAAGTACTAGTACTAGTGTGTGTGT